CTGGGTCACATATGTCCTTTTAGGCTCCCTGGCTGGGAACCTCGGGATGATCGTAACCGATGGTCAGAGACACTGAGCGATATGGCTGGGTGTCGGAAACAGTGGCGTTCGTGCATCTTCTCAATTTTTTCGCAACCGTAGACCACTGAACTTCTCCATTTTCTTTTCGATTCCACTTTCCTTTCTTCTCCTATTCTTCATCCAAATGGGTAGCCCAAAGACAGTAACCCAAGCCGACAGTCGGATATGGGTCGTTAATGGTTGTTCAAACAACAACAACAACAACTTTGATTCCTTCCACTGATTTGAACATTCCATTCTTCCTTTTACTCGTTCATCCATGTGGACAGTCATGAAATAGCAACCAAAACCGGCACACGAAAGTGCATGATTCATATTTGTAAAAAGTCAACTGAACAGACTTCACTCATAGTTTGTTGTGCAACATTATTGATGTTTCGTACACTAGCCACCTGCAATCAAAACTAATCTAGTTCCAGCTTCACATCGTCTGCCAACAATGAATACGCATGTCAAAAATATAGAACAGTTCTGGGTGTGTTTTATCAGCCTCAAAAAACGTGTTTCCTCCTTCACGTGCCAGGTTTGAAGTTCCTGTTTAATGAAACGAAAGTACATGACACAATAACCAAAGAATATTCAAAGGTAGTTAGTTTTCTCAACCATTCTTGATGTAAATTGTGGAACGTTTTCGAAGGAAAATGGCCAATTATATATTGGGTGTAGCAGATCACCATTAGAACAGCGCAGTGGTTCGCGCAGGAGTCCCTTCCGTTTTAAATGTGAAGGAAGTCACTCCTGGGCGATCGCTTTTTGTCTTCGAATTACTAGGTTCGCAATCTTGACCGCTCGGGCTTAGGTTGCCGGTTAGTGTGAATGAACTGTGGGTTCTCACAGACGTGGGAGTTTACGTCCTACTGATCATCGAAAAGGTATGCCATAAACAGAACTTGATACTGCACATGAATGAGTGAAAAATTCCGTTGTTTTCCTCACGCTGCCAACACAAGATTACTTGAAGTTGGAGGATACAATGGAAGCGAGTATTCCAATTTGATTTGGTACTGAAATCCGTAGCACAAAATATGACAGCGTGTACTTCACACATGTCTGTATCCAGACTGCCAAAACGCGAAGGTTCCATGATTTGTTTGTGGGCGGAATACTGCCAGGTTGCCCAGGCCAAGGCAGGTGAATTTTCCTGATAAATTCACAACCGGAGTCTTCGGCTAACCAAAGACGGACCCGTAAGGTAGCTGGGGTGGAATGTGAAAACCGCAAACCATTGGGCGCCGGTGTTCAATACATCGGATCGTACACCCTTTGGACGGGGTCAAACCTCTAAGGTGCTCAACTGACCCGGTGACCACTGTCACAACTAGTTAGGTGTAGGTGAGTGTGATTCATACTCCACTTCTTGGTTGATTAGGAATCAGGGTTTTTAACCAACTCCCTTAATTGAACTGCCATTGGTTTGCCGACTCGGTTGTAACCCGGGATGTTGACTTTTCGTCCTCTCACTTTGGTGCGAAAATACCTCCGCCACGAGAAGGCAGTGAGTGGGGCTTCGTCAGAAAATGCTGTTCAAAACGCTTGGTCGTATAGCAGTATTTTGTGTGGTACAAGGAAAGAGCGACAAACCACAAACCAAGAAATCCACCCAGACCGTACGGAGGCAGTTGTGACAGGATTGGGGGCTGTATCCATGCCTATCGTTATCCACTGGTTTCAGCATAATCGTCACACTGGTGTACAGTAACTTTGATGATTAACTGCTCAAATTAATTTCAACTACAAATTTAAAGTATAAATATGTAAAATAAAAAATGCCATATATCATAAAAGGTCGATAGAATTTCAGGCATTTAATCAACAGACAACTACATGAAGAACTATGACCTATATTCGCTTAGACTACAATGTAGATATTAGGAGTGGTATAATTACACATCCTTTCCATTGTTTTTTATAGGAACACTTTCTTGTTGGAGATTTTCTCGCCGCTGGAAAACAGCCCAATCTGACAACCGACATGCTGACCACACTGGCTGACTGGCTAGTTGAGGTGCAGGACAACTTTGGGTTCAATCATGAAACCATTCACCTGGCATGGGGTCTTCTGTACTCATACTTCGAAAGGGGGCTGCCATTGGCTCGGTAAGCTCTGTTCGGTCTCTGTTTTCCTTCATTTGCTCATTTGCCCGAATCTCACATGTCAGGAGTCATTGCCTTTTTTCCATTTCATATTTGTAAACATATATTTGTATTGCATCAACAGTTCACCTACGTCGAGCTCCTGTGGGAGGAAAAAGACATAAACTGCACATTGCATTAGTCGTTGCGCCGTATAATCTAGACCGTGCTTGCAGTGTATCAAGGTCCGATATTCCACACTCTGTTCAGTTATTTAGTCTGCTCTTTTGTAGCATTCATTCTGACCGCCAAAGTTTGCAGCTGATCCACATTTCAGATAGTTTTTCGTCCAAATAATCACACTTCCTGGGGCCATTAACCGTTAAACTGGATAACCTTCAAAGTGCAGAGCTGTGTTTTGCTCAAAAAGTTCCCCTTATGCATGCGACCATCTCTAGCATTTAAAGTCTGCAATGTCCTTACCAAACACATTGAACGCTCTTTCAAAGAAGGAATGCTACCTGATGACCTGTGGAAGCGGTCCGGTTTCTAATATCCCATGATTCGCGACAACCTGGTAGGTATCAGGAACAACAACTCATTAGTCAAGAAAAAATATATTGTTCCCTTAAAAGCACCGAAAGTTTAACCTGACTACGCTCGAGCGTATCTGATAGCGAAAGGCCTAGCAAGCGAAGTTGTGGCACTGAACTCACGAACTGTTCAAGGTGAAGTACTCCACTGGAGGCGGCAGTGACTTAAAGAAAGATAAAATACCTAGCTGAAGAAGCAGCATCAGCATGTCGACGATCCTGGCGGAATCCATGCTAGAAAGGATGCACGAGCGAATGCTCCAAGCAACCAATGCCTGTAACCATGCGAAAGCATACGTACGGAATAGGCCAACTGAAGATGGTGCCAACTCTCGATCATGTTACACTGTCCGTCTGAAGCTCTCTACATTAACCATGCTTCCTTCGCGTTTTCAAGAAACAAGTAGATCCATTCACCAGTCCATTGCCTCTGTAAGGTTTTGGACAGCAAGGCTGAGTTTGCTCTTTTCGATTTAACAGACTACTCTTTTGCATGATGTAACTCGTTGCGAATTCCGGGTAGAATTCGCCATGTTAATGAAAACATTCATTCACAGTAACCAAGCCCATCCCGGATGTCTGCAGTTGATAAAAGACGCATGTACAAACTTCACATAAAACTCAATTTACGCCTTCGATTAAACCAACTCTCCGATTTGGTTGTGCTACCTTGAGATTTCAACACGGCTTGTAAAATTAATTATTGATTGGAATTAACCATTCTTCAGACTCCATCTGCACGCACAATCCCCACTTCATCTAGTCAATCATATACTCGGGTCTAATGTGTCAAAGACATGTCTAGGGACCAGTATGCTCTACCTTCGATAGCAGCCAAAACCGCCACATGAAAGTGCATGATTGATGGTTGTGTAAACGAAAACTAACTAAAACCTTCGACAAACGGAAAGCCTACATACGCCTTTTCCATTGAGTTTAAATCCACTATTGTCCCCTTTAAGTACCACTTTCAGGTAACTGTCAAAAGAAGGCTTTGTGCGCCAGTTCAATAGTTATACCAACCGGGATCGAACTTATATCAATGCCGTTGGCCTGCTTCAGTGAAAATTGTAGAATGTATTGCATCACTCGCTTTGATTACACACTAAGCACTTCAATTTACTAATCACGAACGAAATGTTGCATAGCACTATTGAATTGAATGTTGGACGCTTACGTTCCTGGTTCGCTTACAGTTATGAAGCTAAAATCATTACTGGCTCCAAACCNCTACATGAATGTCGTTTCCAAACACCGTTTGTGAAGCCATGCTATCCCTTATGTTCATATCGTCACAGATTGACTGCTCCTTGACACGGTGTGATGACTTGTGCACGTCTGATCTGATGAGCTATACAGGATGGCTTCTATCAAGTCAAACGATCTAGTCATTCCTGAAAGGTCGAAGGGTAGGTAGGGGTCAGACAACGTTCACCTTCTTGATTCTCTCCGGGTTCAAGATTCAACTCAAGTTGGCCCCTCGGTCGGTATAAGTGCTAGAGTGATAATCCGAGTAGACAAGCCTTCGCTTCGATTTGTTAACTGTTTGGCTTTTTGTCTTATGTAAAAACTGGAAGCCTTGTCTAGGACCCCCTATCGTTCTGCTTAGTGGTTAGGCTCCCTAGCAGTGCCCGTTCATCTAGCTCTCATGAGTACACAAACTGCAAAGAACTGCGAGCTTCAACGGTCGTCAAGTCATGACTGCTTTGTCGATTACATCAAGCAACCTAGGTAATGGTCCATGAGCTATTGTTCAGACATATCTGCCTTAGTGTATTTTCTCTTCTATCCTTCTGTTTTCGTCTAACCTTCTGACCCATGCCTTTCGCTTTGGGAACACCACAGCAAAGACTGTCTGTTCATCATCTCGAAATAGCCCCCGACTAACCACAGATCCGAGACATAAAAATACGAGTTCTTTGACAAACTCACTAACCTCACTTGGTTGAGATGAGACTCCAATATGGTGGATAGAACACATATTAGAGAACAAAGCACCTGTAATCAGATAACGGCATTCGACTGTTCCATTTTTGAGAGAGATTTGTGTTTTGTCTTATGGTGAATTTCGTCTTTATACAGAACACATGGAGCGTGAACTGGAAAGCTAGGAAGCACTGTTCAGCTGTTTCAACTAGGCCATAACCCCCGGGAGGCTAGTGCTGGGATGCGCAAGCTGCGATGCCCGCAACCAAAGTGAAGACGAGGCATGAAGAAATGCACAGAGCGATTAGGTTTAATAGATGTCTACCGTCTTTCAGGTTGGTGTCCGAAAGACTGCAACTGGTTGCTTGGAGACACCGGAAGACACGACCACCAGTCGACAGCAACGGTGTTCTTATTGTCATTTCTTTTCAGGTCGAGATGCTTGAAAATGTATGAATGCACAGTTAAATTGTGTACTTTGTGTATTAACCATAGAGGTTCACTTTCTTCCTCCCTCCGTGAAAATAGACCAAATCCCTCTCCACCTTACGTATTTTCACTAGTTCTGTATGCATTTCGAGTTGGGCAGCGATCAATGATTTTCGCTTCAATGTATTTTGCTGTTCGAGGACGATGAGGATTTAGTGGAAGCGTCAGATAAACCTATGATATCAAATAGCCCTTTTGGCTTCTGTTAGGCATAATCTGATTATCCGATGTAGATTTAAAACATTCCAACACCGCGTTTATCCTTTTGGATACTTAGTGACTCGCTCTGTCGTTTCCACAAGTTGTTTAACTTGCTCAGTTGTATGAAAGTGTCACATTGTGGAGTGAATAGGTCCAGTCACAATTTACTTAGAAACCGTACAAATGAAAACCGATTGAAAGTTGTCACTGAGATTGCCGCATCAGTGGCGAACTGAAAATGTGTTGCTAAACTGATCATCAGTGATCACCATTAGATCTGTTAACAGCGCACAAAAAAGTGCATTGTATAACGATTCCAAAAAGTCCAAGGACGAATTGTTATTCTCTGACAGATAGGTATTTGAAAGCATAAGTCAATAGCGTAGTAACCTAACGCAATCTATGTCCGGGACTATTTCGCGGTATCACTACTAGTGTTTATTACAGAAAATAACACTGAGTATAAGTCTTATTTTCATCAGATCATGCATTTTAATGAAGACGTTTTCTGCAGTGAATAGTAGTAGAAGTTCAACGGAATTGTCCCTGACGGAGTCCATAATGTTGCGCCATTGGCTTCTCCTTCCAAATGGATATCTGATTAATGCTGCTGCACGTAGGTGTTCGTTTCTTGCGTTCTCAAACGGTGCACCATGTTCGATTGGCATTTGCCAACCTGAAACATCTGTGGCGCCGTTGCGACATCCAGCTGTCTGTGGATGGTCGAGTAAATGCTGCATTAGTTTGACTAGTTCTGCTCAACGGTGCAAAGAATTGTCCGTGTTCGAACACCGTTGTCTACGTCTCATGGCACGAATCTGGTGGGGTAACCGAACGAGCAATGCTGAGGTTAGGCGTAGAGTTTTGAGCAATCGTGGTCGTCCATTAGAGCAAGTAGGTGACCTCCATAGATTACGCTGGTTGGGGCATATGTTACGCATGTCACCAGGTAGGTTGCCATGGCGAGCGATGTTTGCCGAGGCAAGTAGCGGATGGAAAACGGTCAATGGCGGTCAGACGAAGACCTGGCATGAGGGTATGGAAACCCTAACCACGAGACTGGATAACATAGGTCCCGTTAGACTCCCTAGATGGGGACCCCGAGATCATGATCACTGATGGTTAGAAACACTGAGTGATATGGCTGGATGCTGCAAACAGTGGCGCTCATGCATCTACTCATCATTCTTGCAACCTTAGTCCATATGAATTTTTCTCTATCTTCCTCTTCAATTTGCTGTCAACATTCTGATCTTCATTCTGCTCTCTTATCCTAATGGGCAGTCAAAAGACAGCAACCCGAATCGGCTCACGAAAGTGCATGGTTAATGGTTGTGAGAACCAAACTGAACATGTTGTTTTACCAAATTTTATAACATTCATCAATCAATTGGAAAGTTTTAAAATATATCCCAGTCATATCGATCAGGCTAGGATAATGGAAGTACTACCGCCGCTAATAAATAGCATTGGAAAACGTCGTTTCCTCTGTTAATTTCTCAGAATTAACCTAATTAGGGTTAATGAATTGATCTTGATTTGTGTTCATTTGCTCACACACTATTCTAATCCATTTGTGAAGATGTCCGTTTATTTTGCTTATACGAAACTTTGTCTGCGTATGTTACACGGCTAAAGGGAACTGTTTTTCACTGTCGTATATCCGTCTGGCCTCCATCTTCATCTAGACGGGAAATTCAGTTGATGGCATGTGCTGCAATCATGGTCGCATGTAAACACGAGGAACGTCAGATGCCACAGCTCAGTGAGTTCCTGTACATCACAGATAGTGCGTACACAAAGGAGGAATTCATCGAGGCGGAACGGCGATTCCTCGTGGCCATCGATTTTGCTGTGCACCGACCAAATCCCTACGTGTTCCTGCGTCGCTATGCCCGGGTATGTGGGTGCACGCAGTGCTTGAACGTCGTCACTCATGTTTACTGAATTGTTTTTTTCTCCCAATCTCTCCCGAAAACCCGAACAGTATGTGTTCATTTTTGTTTTATATTCTCAATGGAACATAACGTGACCACGCGCTCCAAACCTCCACTCTGCATAATGAGCTTCATTTCCTATTGCGACACGTCTACACCTCCAGTATGTCTATGAAGCGAATCGGTGATCAAATATTTTGACGTAAACTTCAACCAGAATTGAGCTGAGTAATTTAACTGAGGCTCGTTTGTATGTCATGCATGGGCAAACTAACCGTATTCTACCCCGGGGCAAATCAGCGACCGATCTCCTCCTCATAAGTGTTGTCCCACCGTGATTCGTGTGGTGCCATATGGCCTCAAACATGTGTGAACTATTCTATCATTGCATGATTATGCATCATGTTACTGCTATGTAACACAGGGCAGATAGTTAACAAGTCTAAAGGGTAGCATATCTTTGCTTGTGCTCGTATCCCACTTTCTAAATTACCATCGATACTACACAGTTCAATCCACCCCGAACAAAATTGCCCATATTTCACATGGTAATCTCATGGCCGGTTGTGCATATGAATCCCTTAGTCACGAGAAACTACGATTCGGTTATAAAAGTCAGCAAATAGACTTCTTGCACTGGCCAAACAATTGACCAAGATATAGTAGTTGTTCCTAGATAGCTTCTGTCCGACCGATTACGGAGCCGAAAGCCAATAACCAAAATCGTTACACAATAATAGTACTACGTTAATAGTTGTGAAAACTGAATTCAGTTCATCTATGGCTTCCGTGCTGTTCATTTGTCCATTGAATAGCCAGACTGTGCTACATCTGTTTAATTTCCTTCACTGCGCTTTATGGTATAATTGCCACTGTTCGAATGTCAATGTTTTGCTTCATTTTCTTCCGGTAACTAGCTTATCAAAACACGAGATATGCTTATCAGACCCAACTGTGAATTACGCATGTTTTCTAATCTAATCGTCACTGATAAATTTATATCTTTTACGAATCCCACGAGTGGTGGTGACAGTTGTCAGGTTCACTATCGTCCGGCTGAATACCATCCATACCTGTTCAAATCGCAGTGATCATTAACTCGCGTTCCACTATTACATGAAAGGTATCCAATTGAGACAAAGATTAGTCCTCTGATCATAATCAATCCTGGAATTCAGTCATCAGGATCACGGAATTCTCGTCACATTAGCAATGATTGGTTTCATCTACTACTCGCCTATTACACAACCTAACTCGAAACATTCACTGTTTGATCGCCTAGTCACTTTCTGTTACCGTGTTTGTAACTCCGATAATCGTTTCACACGTGTGATATAAGCACCATAACCATTCCATCTTTGCCTTCGTAACGCCTGCTTTCTGTACAAATTCACACAGGTACTGGACGCACACAGCGGTCACGTGCAATTCATGTCTCGCTTTCTACTGGAAGCTGGAATGCATAGTCATGCGATCAGTTTGAAACGGGAGTCCCGGAAAGCTGCCGCGGTCCTTTGGCTTGCCCGTGTCGTTTTGCGTAATCCGTCCTACGTGGATTGGACCAGACGCACCGATGTGTATCAGTTGAGACAGTTTCTTCGGACGAATCGTCTTGCCCAACGATATTACTCCCAGTGTTGCCCTCGGCCAGCTCACACATTATTACGAAACCGACCGCCTCAAAACACTTCCACTCCCTACACCTCCAATCCTGCAGGTGTTCTCGATTTGTCCACACAATCCACATCGAATGTGGTCAGTCGGACCACCAGTCTCAGTCATCCTAGCTCATTTCTGGCGGAAAATGTTGGCCATTGGTTGCGTAACGTGCAACCAAGTCAACTGAACAGTATGGAGTAAGTGATCTATACTAAAACCGGCTTATGAAATAGTACAGTAACTAGCAGTTGGTATTCTGTACTGCGCATCTATGAACGATAACAGCGACCCATGTGGTGGGACGTACACGAGTGAATACCCATCACAGAACGATACCGAAGTGCATACTCAGATAATCGTGTAGTCTGTGCTGGTCAACACACTTTCACCTCTCCCTCAATTCAGACCCAATTCCTGTCCATTCTCACTTCGTTAACATTAGGAGCTTGGCGGCGATCGGTAAAGGTTGTTTCTCTGTATTTCGTTGTACAATAATCATGGTGCGCACAAACCATCACATCAAAGTGTATTCTCGTCATGAGGTGCATACGGGAACCGACCTATAAAACACGGAAAACATTGTTATTATTCCAAATTGAACAAGGATTTAAGTGATTCTTCGTTCTACACCCGCTGGAGTGCATCGGTGAAAGATTAAAATGTCCCAGGCAGCGTCACAAACCTGTCTAGTCTGTCCACTATGTTGTAACCAGTAACTCAAATCACCCACACCCTCAGCTTACATACCTCCGGGTTCCAGTGTTCAGCTATCATAAATTCAGAGAAGTCTTTGCTCAACAATATCCCGGTATTCTGCCATACAATGCAGAATGACTTTCCAGTGTTGAAGTTCTTAACTTGCGGTTTTGTCATCTCTGGAACACCCCGGATCGCTCCACTCATCCAGTACGTCGTGTGTTGAGAAGAACGTATAAATGACCCGCGGCATCTAGTCTTTGTGCAGTTCAAGTGTGTACATCAAACCATCTGGCGAAGTGTGCCGCTGTTCATCTGCAAAGGTGCTTTCGGGATCCACGAGTAAGATGAAGACCGAAAACTGCAAATATGCCACGGCGTTGTACAACATTAGCCACCTCAGAGGTTCAATCTTCCCCTGTGAGTGCGCGCATTATGCATTCATTTCCCACTCCAGCTTGATCACTTTCGTTGTCCATCAGAATCAGTTGGAGATCGTTCTGGCATGGCCCCTCGATATTATGGTCTTCACAGTTCAAGTTGAGAACAATACCTTTTCAGTCGAGGTCCTCTAGTGACTGACGGCGGTCGCCGTTTTTATTCATATCCTATATCCTNTGATCAACTTTTTTGACCAGAGATTTCCGACTACAGGCTAATTCAAAAGGCCGTTCCCAGGACAACTCCATAGCACTCCATGCACTTGTCACCAGATTGATTTTCTTATTATGAGAACTGAAGCTGCCGACTTTTCTCCACGTAGAGCTTGTTCATTGTTCACACAAGGTTGTACAAGAATGAAATCCCCTGGTATACAAAAAATACGGTTCATTCGTCCATAACGGAAACTCCTTAGTTCCCACCCGGGTGGGGGAGAGGTGCAACGGACAACGAGAGGTTGTAGTCCTCGGAAATTCCGCACACCTACATTTGGTTTTCACTTCGAGTTGGCAGCATATACAAATCGAGGCTAGTATATCAGATGATTTGTGAATTTCATCAATCTAAATACGCATGTAATCTACTAATTTTCCGAATTCTGTTCCGTGTAAGCACTTCGAATAAATCATCGGGTCGGTAATGCGTGATTGTTTTGGTTCGAACTCATGAAACACTACAATAAAATGACTTTTGAGCCATTCCTGATGGTTGGGGATAAAAAATATCGAAAAGATAATTGCATGGATCGCATGGTATTCTCCACTCGCGAATTATCCCCCAATTTTCCCAACACCTTGCACTCTCTTTGCCCCCAGACGAACTACCAGTGAACCATGTGTTCGTAAGCAGTCTAATGACGACGCGAGCACATCTTCGACACCAGAGTCAGGATATCGGTCTGCTCCATCCGGTGAGAACAACTCTCTCTGTTCTGATCCGGAGGACTCCGATCTGGATCCGAGACTGAAGGCAGATTTAGAGGCGATGAAGTCAGAGGAAGATCAACGCTCACCATTCTGGCCACCGATCCTGCAGCATATAACCGGATACAAGGAGGCAGATCTGATCCCGTTGGCTGTACGTTACCATGCGATTGCGTTACGTTTGATCGCCGAAGTGGCCCGAGGCGGTCGCCTCGCGATGGACAAAGATGCCGAGGTGACCAGTGGTCCTTCATCCGTGCCCGCAGCCAGTGAAGATATGGAAGAAGATGGAGATGACGAAGAAGGGAATAATCAAAGTGCACCCCGATGTATTTCTCCCGGTGGGCATTATTTGCGTCGACAGGCAGTGAGCAAATATTGTTCCGAGTAAGTTCAAAATGGTCGTTCTTCATTACACGGCTGCCGCATTTACGGTAACCTGTTATGTGCATGTTCAGTTCAGTTTGTACAACCATTAACCATGCATCTTCGAGTGGCGGTTTTGGTTGCTCATTTGGATAAAGAATACGAGAAAGAGACAGGATACTAAAAACACTGTTTTCCCGTCACAAATTTAAAAAACAAGTCAGAAACATGATTTTGCAAAACCATGTTTCTGACTTGTTCATTCAGGGACAGGAAAGTCGAAAGTAGGGTCGAACAGAACTTCAGTGGTCTAAGTTTGGAAAGAAATGGAGAAGATCCAAGAACGTCACTGTTTGCGACAGTAAGTCATATCACTCAGTGTCTCTAACCATCGATTACGATCATCCCGTGGTCCCCAGCCAGGGATCTATATGACCCAATACCCTGGTGCCTGGTCTTAGGTTGACCACCCTTGGTTTTTTCCGTCCACTGCGTGCCTCGGCAAACACCGCTCGCCGTGCCAACCGGAGTGTTCTATTTTATGTATCAGCTGAAGTGGCATTTGTCTTCGTGCCCCATTATCACATGTAGTGAAATGAAAGAGGACAATCAAGTAACGCATGTAGCAAAAGCTTGTACATCGTTGGCAAATTAGTTGAGAGTTCATTAAAGGAAATAATGCTCTTATTCGTCCCGAAGGAACGATATATGGCCCCAGCAAAGACAACTCTAAACCTAGTGCCCAAATTCCAACAGAAATCGGATAAGTCCGGGGCCATTATATGAATTTCTCTGTGATTCTCAAGTGCTACCGGTTCAATTTTCGAGAAAACCCCATACTTCAGTATGACCGGACATTTTGTTGGCGGTCGATAAACATCCTGTTCAGTCAGTGAAGTTAAAAAAATGGGTGACTTCATCACTTTTGAGATGAGTGATGGCATAGACGTGTGACGTCGTTGTTACGTCTGGGCGGGTGGTTCAGTATTATTCGGAGTAGATACCATCACAGTAAATTTCCGGGAGGGAACTGAAGATCTGACGGATACAAAAACCAAGCTACACCGGAACAGGATATGTTCTGAGAAGAATCCTCTGATAATGGTCCATTGACATATTTCTGAGCTTTGGACCCTCAGATCAGCGATTCAATCACTGTCATCCAATCAAGGAAGCTATGCAAATATCAATAAAATCAACGTCGGACTCTGACACAGGTTCAAAACACAAACGATAGATCTCGGCTGCGCTGCTGGACGCCCGTAGAACCCTGCCTCCGCATGCCACGTATGACATCGCGCAAATCCCTCAAACACCAGCTCATCAAGAGTCTCAGAAATGACCGCGAAACGTGGTGGGTAGAGAAGTTTAGAGAGATGGAGAAGACTGTGGCTATCGGCAATGGTCGCAATCTTTTCCGTCTAATTAGGAATACAGGTAATTAGGGATTCAATGGCACACACTCAATCACAATTCACAATCAGCAACGCCGTCTTGATCGATGGGCCGAACATTTCGCGGCTCAGTTCAACTGGCCCCTATCGACATGTGAACTGTCACCCTCCACCTTAACTGGGCAGTTGATGCTAGTCCTCTATCTAAAATTGAGGTTCCCGAGAAATAAGTTATCTCACACGGCATAAAGCTTCCGGCCCCGACGGGCTGTCCCCACTGGTTTTAAGGATAAAGGTTCAGTCCTCGTTTTGGAGTTAACGAAAATCCTAGGCTCAGTGTGGGAGAGGGAAGAGGTTCCAGCTGAATGATGCGAATCGGTCATCATACCGATTTACAAGAGAGGCAACAGGTCCTCCTATGAAAACCACAGAGGAATTAGTTTAATCAACATCATCTCTAAACTTCTCGCCGGCATCATACTCCGATGATTGTCTGCCGCACGTGAACAGTGCGCGCGTGAGAACCAGTCTGGTTTTAGATCCGGTCGAGGTTGTATCGACCACATCTTCACTCTCCGCCAAATTCTGGAGCATCGCCATTCCTTTCATAGACCCACCATCTCTGTCTTCCTAGATCTGAAAGCGGCTTTCGACTCAGTCGACCGCTCTAAACTCTGGCGCTGCCTTTTTCTGAAAGGTGTGCCCGATAAGTTAATTTCAGTATTACGATCGATGTATACTAATAGCCGAAGTCGAGTCCGGGCTTACGGCACTTTTTCGCCCGAGTTCACCACGGAAAGTGGTGTTCGTCAGAGTTGCTTCCTTTCTCTCCTTTTCTATTCAACTGTGTTATAGATTTGAATATGGAAACAGCCCTATCCTCGTGCGAGGAAAGTGGCATCGATTTACTCCCAGGTGGTGGGCTGTCTGATCTAGAGTATGCAGACGACATTGTGCTTCAAAGTGGAGATCCAGGTAAGTTGCAAGCATTTCTGGATAACTTGAATGCCAGTGTAGCCATATTCGGTATGCGTTTTGCACCTTCAAAGTGTAAAATGTTACTACAAGACTGGGTTGGTCCAGCACCCAACCTCACTCGTACTGGAGAAGTAATAGAGCAGGTGGATAAGTTTTGTTATTTGGGCAGCTACATCTCACCCGGTGGACGCATCACGGATGAAGTGTCAGCTCGCATACAGAAGGCTCGGTTGGCATTTGCTAACTTGAGACATGTGTGGCGCCGTTGCGGCATCCGGTTGTCTGTGAAGGGTCGAGTGTATGCCGCGACAATTCGGCCAGTCCTGCTATATGGTGCAGAAACGTGACCATTAAGAAAACAGGATAAAGGTAGATTGTCGGTGTTTGAACACCGCTGTCTACGCGGCATTACACGAATCTGGTGGGGTAGCCGGATGAGCAATGCTGAGGTTAGGGACAGAGTTTTGGGTAAATACGGTCGCTTCTGGAGCAAGTGGTCGACCTCCATAGATTACGTTGGCTGGGACATGTGTTACGCATGTCACCAGATAGGTTACCACGGCGAGCGATGTTCGCCGAAGCAGATACTGAGTGGAAAAAAGCCAAGGGTGATTAAGCTAAGATCTGGAATGAGGATATGAAAACCCTAATCAGTAGTCTGGGTCACATATGTCCTTTTAGGCTCCCTGGCTGGGAACCTCGGGATGATCGTAACCGATGGTCAGAGACACTGAGCGATATGGCTGGGTTTCGTAAACGGTGGTGTCTTCTCCTATTATTCATCTAAATGGGCAGCCAAAACCTTCGCACGAAAGTGCATGATTAATGGTTGTACAAAATGAAACTGGTTCAATCGTTGATCGTTCCGACTAACATATGCGGCTATGATCACTGCCAGTTTATCCAGTTGAGTCAATAAAGATTGGGATGGGGAAAGGGGAGACAGATTCAGCCGAACGAAATAATAACGGTACAATATGGATAGGGTAGCGGCTACTCGACGTTGAGCTAGCGAATTAAAGTTACATGTTTGGAACAGGTTGATAAAACGAATAGCCTTACGTTGAACCTAATCGAGAACGAATAGAGAATTGGACGAAGCCCCACCCCAAAAATGACTGTAATATTCAAATGTAGGGCGCGTCTGAGTTCTGCGAGGCGAGCGGAACTAAGTAGCGGTGTAGAGACGTCTGGCGCGGAAGAGGAAACCGAGTTTGCGCGCAGCGTGAGAATCAAGTAAAAAAATACAGCGTCCATAAAAGAGAAGAATATAAGGAAACCGAATACGATAAAGATAGTTCGAATAGTTTGCCTGAATCTGTGAAACGGAGAACGTTCAACTTGTAGCTTAACGACGGGAATAAATTTGCATTTTAGAGAAATAAACGAGGGAACACAGTTGCGACAGCCCAAAGCGAAATAAGACTAAGATCAGAATTTAGGGAGAAACTGAAGAAAGAGTGGACAGCGCGTGAAAGCAACTGAAATAACGTCTTCGGTCTCTGAGTATGAATCAGGGAATTTAGAAAGCACATTGCTGTATCTCTTTCCCGAGAAGCCTCTGATGAACCTCCTGAAAATGAACACCGTAACGAAGGCATCATGAGTAGCCTAACCGCGGTTGAAGTGATCTCGGAGTTTCATCACTTGACGAAAGAATCTCAGTCTACTCGGACTTGTGCTTATTCTGTTCGTGCAACTAGATGTCGGCGAAAACGTCGTTTTTTCCCTTTAACCACAAGCCAAACAGGAGTTCTGATAGCGTCTTCGTAATTAGCACAGTCGATTATATTGCCATAAATGAATGAAGATATAAAAAATCACCAGCTGCTTGTGTTCATCAATGTTAGGTCAGTCGACTGTGGAGAGAAATTAGCGAAATAGCTCACTGTTCGGAGGTAGATAAAGAACGTGGTTCACTATCAAACCACTCCGGGGTCGACGCGATCCACCATTTCAATTTTCTGGAAAGGGAAAATTCAAAATTTTCGTTATAAATGTCCTGTTATTCTCACGGAAGCGTGTGGCTATCTGTAGTCACGCAGTTTGGGTGAACCGAAGCCAATAAAAAGCTATTCGCAGATTAAATGTCGACGTGCTACACTGAGCAGAAATTTTGGTGCCCGTGTCGATGGTGATCCCCTTCAGTGGGGACTTGTGTCGTTGCTATCGCTAGCTGTGTAAAGAAAGCTTCCACGAGAGACCATATGATAGGTGTTGAAACCGGCGCGGCGTTTTCCATTCTGTTTTGATCGGTTACTTGGCCACTAGGGGGACAGGATAAAAATGGATTTTTCGAATACCGTTGTCTGCGTAGCGTTGCACGATTGTGGTAGGGTAGCCGGACGAGCAATGCTGCATTGTGTTTTAGATAATCGCGGAGCAAGTAGTCGAACTTCATGAGTTACGCTGGCTGGGGCTAGTGGTACGCATACCGCCAGGTAGGTTGCTGCAGTGAGCGATTTTTCCGGGGCAGGTAGCGATAGGAAAAATATCAAGAGAGGTTAAACGAAGACCTGGCGTCAGCGTATAAAGACCCTGACCAGGGGACTAGGTCACATAGGACCCGTTAGGCTCCTTGGCTGGGGACCACGAGATGATCGTAATCGATGGTTAGAGACACTGCGTGATATGACTTACTGTCGTATCTTGT